ATTATAGAAACTTATTCGATCCGTATGATTTAAAATATTGTCGGACGTATGATTTTTGACTTATGTGGACATATATATGTTTTACCAAAGTGAATTTATAGTTTTTTTTCCGTATTAGCATGTTTAATTTGTTTATCTTAGCTAGGTTTCTGTATTATTATTAAACTTTTTTTTTTGCTAAATTTATTATTATTAAACTTGTTCAATACTGGTAGGAAAGTCCATAATCTAACAGATTTATTTTTTGTCACAAGTCCATAATGTAACATATGTCACAACACAAAATATTAAATGAAAATAGTTTTAGAGATACAGTCAATATTATCCAAGGTAAATTTTATTCCAAACCTTTTTTAATATAGTTTTCGTTATTTGCTAATATCAACTTAGTAGTTTCTCGTTTACTTATTTAAGATTGTGAATCTTGTTATTTAGCAAATTTTACCTTTTTTTTATCACACGACCTCACGATTTTATTATTTGTTTTTGGTTAAAGTAACTAAGCTTTGTGCATGAACACTTTTATGTGTATAGTAAATAAATAAATCCATTTTATTTTTCACCTAAAGCGTGACTTTAGTTATTATCTTTAAATTTCAAAATTGAATATAAATTTACACTTTAAATCATTTTTCAGCTGCTCCCACATATGGGAAACAAGACCAGTCCTCCAATATCTCCAAGAACCGGCAGAGAAATGAAGGTACGATCTATTTAAAGGAGTCGACGTATATCTTTGTCTCAAATCAATCATTTCTTTATTTAAAGGAGTCGACGTAAAGAAGACAAATAAAGCTGGTTGGTTTTGGGACTTTTTTGGTGTATACAAAAAAAATTACCCATAGAAAAAGAGAAGGCATTATAATTGTCATGATGATTTCATGCAATTGTTAATTCAACCCATTTTCTTTTCCTTGATATAACTTAAAGGTGAATATAATTATGATTTATGATGAGTAAGCAGAGATTCTGATTTGGTTACTTTTCTTTAGTTCGAAATATTTTGAAGCTATAACCTGTCAGTAATTTGAGAAAACTCATTGACTCAAATTTATTTTAACCGAGTTCCCAAATTTCACCTAATCATCATAAATTTGTATATAACATTCAAACTCGTACTAACTTAAATAGATATGTACCTAAAGAATCCGTTAGATGAAATTATTTTGACCATGATATGGTATGTATTATAATGGTTTGTAATACTCTCGTTGTTGCATTACCACCCATATTAAAAAAAAAATTGTAGTGGTACCGTTCTGATATCTTATTTCACAAGTAACGAATAAAAAAATCCAATTAGAATTATGATAAAGTTTATATACAAGTTTAATATGAATGATGCAGCATCTGTACAAGAGCATGATAA